ATTTCTCGTTCAGTTGTCTCAAATCCTGGAGGCTGTCGCATGTACAGCTCCTCGTCGATAGTCCCGTTGAGGTACGCCGTCTTGACGTCGTACTGTTTCAACAGCAACTCTTTCTTTCCGGCCACTGCAAGCATCGCCCTCAGCGTCGACTGTCGGGTTACTGGAGCGTATACTTCCGAAGAGTCCACTCCGAACGTTTGCGTGTAGCCTTGTGCCACGATCCGTGCCTTGTGCTTAACTACTTCGCCAGTCTCGTTCCTTTGATCTTTCTCCCGGCAGGCAGTTTCACAAGATTCCAGGTCGTATTCACCTTGTGCGCCTCTATTTCTTCACGCATAGCTGCTCGCCACTCCGGAATGCGCATCGCTTCACGGTAATCACTGAGTTCTTCTTCGTGAGAGACTTGCCCCACAACGTAATCACCAAATCTGGGAGGCAAAACTCCCCGGTTGCGCCGATCTTCTCTTCTCAGAGGCCACGTTTCCACTTCTTCGAAACCGTAAAAGTCATCCTCTTCTTCTTCCTGGAGTTCATGCGCATCTGCATCTTCATATACTGACTCGGGATCTTCAGGCTCTTCTGCCACTTCACTACCCGCGCTTTGTCCAATGATCACTTCATTTTCACAATCCGCTTCCACTGGCTTTTCTATCTCAGCTGCACCTTGATCCACAGGCTCTTCCGGTTGCTTCACTCGTTCCTCCTCCTGTTGTGATCCGTTCCCCAGCTCTATGAACCGTGCATCCCGACTCACGGTAACTCGGTCGGTCTCAGTCCACGAATCGGTAGCCCTTGTGGCTTTCCGAATAACCTACGATTTTGCGTCAAACTTCTTCCTCTTGACTTGGGAATATGAACGTATGCTTCACAGCTGAATACACGAAGCCGAGAGAGATCCGGCTTCAGTCCAGTCCACGATTCAAACGGCGTTCGATCGATCGCTCTTGATGGCAGTCGATTCTGAATGAAGGCAGCCGTCAGAACAGCTTCTCCCCAGTATCGCTTTGGGAGTCTCGCATCCAGCAGCATACAATTCGCCATCTCCTGCAAAGCCCTGTTCTTCCTCTCCGCTACGCCATTGGATTGCGGCGAGTAGGGAGTTGAAAACTGTGCATGAATACCCTCGGCCTTGTAAAATTCCTGCAGACTCTCGGCAATATATTCTCCGCCGCCGTCCGACCGCACAATGCGAACCTTCCGTCCAAAAATATTCTCCGTCCAGCGAACATACTCCTCGATCTTGCTAGCCGCTTCACCTTTAGACTTAAGCAGAAACACCACACAGAAACGACTATGATCGTCGATCATGGTCATAAAATACTTATTACCGCTCGGTGTCGCGTTCTCCATAGGGCCGCAGAGATCCGTATGGACAATGTCGAGCGGTTGCTTCGATTTCTTCTCAGTAACCTGCGGAAACGGGCTACGAGCTAGCTTCCCCTTAAGGCAACACTCACAGATAATCCGTTCACCGCAATTCTTGATGTTCAAACCTTCCGCCAATCCCTTCGATTGAATAGCGCTCACAGCATCCATGTCCCGATGTCCGACTCTCCTATGCCAAGTATGTTGACACTGCGCAGTATGGTTTCCAGTCGCAACCATACTCGATTCCGCTATCTTGAGCACATATTGATTGCCATGCGTTTCGCCTACTGCCACGACAACACCATCAGCAGACTTGACTTCACAGTGGTCCATTTTGAAGATGACATCAAACCCCTTCAGCGCAAGCTTGCGGACAGAAATCAATCCGCCTTCCAATGCAGGAACGAACAAAACGTAATCCAGCTTAATCGCTATGCGCTTGCCTTCTCCATTTACGCCAAACAGCACTCCGCTTCCGCAACCAGCCGATTTCGTCACCAGGGTCACTTCAATAACAACATCCTGTTTGAATTCGGTTAAAAAACCTCTATCGTTTGTCATGTGGCACGTACAGCCACTGTCCACGACCCAAGCACCAGGAATCACATCGCCTGCTACAAAGCAGACCGCGCGAACGGGAGAGCAAAGCAGAAGGGATATGCAAATGTCAGTTGTGAAAATGAGGTGTCGTACATCGCTGCTACTGTCAACGGTGCTTTTTCAACGCCTACTGTGATGCCCAATATGCGAGTAGAATGGTTTCTGGATTCGGGTGCAACATGCATTTATTCGAAGAACTACACCCGCTGACGAGGAAAGTTACCATTGCTGTGACGAAATCTGGCCTGGTTATTGTGACAGAATCTGCTGGTACCGAAAGGGTCGATATGCGGATCGATGGAAAGAAGCAACCATCCGTGGTGAAAGATGTGCTGTACGTACCGGAGCTGCAGTGCAATTTGTTCTCCGTACGTCGGCTTGAGAACAGCGGAATGACAGTGAAGATTGCTGGAGGAAAAGTGACCATTGAGAAGAATGATCGAATGGACATTTGCCTTCGTGGTGGTGTGGAGTCGAGTGCGAGTGCTATGACGTCAAAGCACGAAGTTTTTGAATGGTGGCATCGAAGGTACGGCTATTTAGAAGAAGCAAACATGAAGAACCTCTGGAAGCATGGGATGATCAAAATGGCTACGATGATCCAGGACTAGCCTAATCGATGTCTTTGCAAAGTATGTTTAAAGGGTAAGCAGACGAGGCAGCCGTTCGAAGAAACGGTAGAGCGGCGTTCATCTCGGCCGTTGGATGTCATCCACTCCGACGTGTGTGAACCGTTTACTCCAAGCACGTGAAACGGGAAACGTTTCTATGTCTTGTTTATGGATGATTATAGTCACTTCACGGCGGTCTATTTGCTGGCATCGAAAGACGAGGTTCAGGGGAAATTCGATCGGTATTATGCGCAAGTAACGGCATTTTTCGGTACTAAGGTGGCGAGGCTGCGGTGTGACAATGGCGGGGAGTATACCAGCAACTCGTTCAGGAAGTTTTGTCGAACTGAAGGAATTCGCATGGAGACAACTGCTCCGTACAGTCCGCAGCAGAATGGGGGGTCGGTTGTCATTCAACACTGCGGACTTCAAAGATGTTCTAAGCTCATCAGAAAAGTTTGAAGAACGAAATCCAGGAAAAAATATGAACATGGATTTTAATTTGAATGTAGCCTCTACGAGCTGCCTCGTCGGATCGTCTTTGTAACAACTCCCACTTCATGTCATAGAAAACAGGGATAACAGTCGTTTAGCATAATGCCGTAAACAAGTGTTATTTTAGTTTTGTACAACAATAACAGTAAATTATAGAATAGCACCTTTGAAGTTTTGCAGAATTTTTCAATGACCGTCTCTGAAAGTTGTTGAACTGCTTTGTTTCTCTGGAGTTTGCAAGAATTTTCTGGGATTCACAGACCTTTATTGAAGTTCATCAAATTTTCCTATAGTTCGGAGATCTCCAATGAAGTTCGTAGAAATTTCCTGGAGATTGTTGAACTTGTGTTCGTAGAAGTAATCTCAAGTTCGCAGAATTTCCTTGAAATTCGCAAAAATATCCTGAAGTTTGTAGAACACTACAGAACAGAATTTTAGAATTCAGCTCAGGTTCATGGAATTTTCCGAAAAAATTCAAAACGTTCCCATAGTTTGAAGCAATTCCCTTAAATTTTCAGAACCTCTTTGAAGCTCGTAGAAGTTCACTGGAGTTTGCATAACTTCTTTGGAGTTCGCAAAACTTCATTGAAGTTCATAGTGTTTCTGACGCTCGTAGAACTTTCCAGATGGTTGCGAAATGTCCCTGAAGTTCACAATACTTTCCTAAAGTTCGAAAATGTTCACTGAAGTTCGCAGAACGTCTTTAAAGTTTGCAGAATTTTCTTACGGCTCACTTCAGTTCCCTGTAGCTCGCTAAACTTCTCTTGAGTTTGCTAAGCTTTTCTATAGCTCGCTAAAGTTCTCTATAGTTCGCAGAATTTCCTTGAAAGTCGCAGAATTGTCTTGAAAGCTTCCTTAGAAAACTATGGGAACTGTGTTGAAGCTCTGGCAGCTAGAGTTAGGGTAAGGTGGGGCAATATAAGTCATCTACATGACTGTCTACTGTCTACTTTATTGTCAACATCAACAGGCACAATGTAGCCCCAATCTTGGCCTAAAAAAGCATACCATCATTGTGGTTGCATTGCACCCAGTGGCGTTTCGTTAACCTCAATCTACCTGTGCACCAACTCTCAAAACATTGCTTATAGATATCGAGTAAACTAGAAGATTAAGTGTATTTTTCAACCGATTCGAGTATGAATATGGCATTAAATCTGGTTTTGAAAGTTGGTGCACAGGTACAAAGTGAGGTTACGGGACGCCACTGTTTGCACCTGTTGATTTTGATAAACAAATAAATTAATAAATGTTCTAGCTAACCCATCTTGCCCCACTTTACCCTATGCTGTAACTGGCAAATCCAATATATCGACAGTGAGCATGCATAAGGGCGAATACGCGATGATCGATTCTCTTCATCGATTTTCTCTTTGCATTGCTACAGCTAAGCGAAACAATTTTCTAGAATTTGTTCAATGCAGAGTTGTAACAGGTTGTATTGGCTATCAAAAGCAAACCGAGAAACGTTAAATCTAGCGAGTTTTTAACAAAAGAGAAAATCGACGAAGAGAATTGATCATCGCGTATAGGCCCTTATGCATGCTCACTATCGATATAACGCATCTACCTCACATCGATTTTGGTACTTTGCATTTTGGTATCCACGGCCTTTACAAATTTTAAAAATTGTGTATGGACAATTGTCTGCGCAGGGGAGGGGGGGGGGGAGGTTTTTCAAGAATCCCAAAAAACTGTCTACGTAGTTGAACAGCCCCTTTGATTTAATGATAATTCTAGATTCTCTTCATCGACTTTCTCTTTTAATAACCTATGCAAACAGATTTCGCACTATTTTTACCACACTTAAATTGATAACGGAGGTTCTTATCGAGTTCTTATCGATCAATGCGTATAGGACCTTTTGAAAAATTGCTCGCGATCGCATCTACACCACGAATTAATGAGTACACTATCATTTTCCAGCCTGATCATCATCGAGCAAGGCTTCAGGGAACTGTACCGTGGCTTGGTGCCGATCCTGTGGCGCAATGGTCCCTCCAATGCGATGTTCTTCGTCCTACGCGAGGAAGCGGACGTCCGGCTTCCGAAACGGGTAATTATGCATAGCTTTTTAAGAATCTCTCTACCTCTGATTGTGTTAAAACAAAAACCCATTCCTTCCCCCCACACACACACACACAGAACACAGTGATCAGACAGAGTACGCAGGAGTTCGTGTCCGGCGCGTGCATAGGGGCATTTATCAGTTCGGTGTTCTACCCGATCAACGTTCTGAAGGTGACGATGCAGAGCCGAGTCGGTGGTCCGAGCGAAAGCATGTTGGCGGCGTTGCGACAGGTGTACAACGAGCGCGATCGTAAGCTGCGGAACGTCTACAAGGGCGTAAGTATGAACTGCACTAGGGCCTTTTTCAGCTGGGGTATCGTCAACAGTGCGTACGAGCAGCTGAAGAAGGTTTTCTACTAAGAAAAGGGCGTAACTCACTGCAGTGTCGGCGGCGAACGACGGCGATGACAATAAATAAAAAAAAGAAACCGGTTTCCGGTTGGGAGAAAATTGTGATGTACATATTATGTAGGCATGTTTAGACGAATTTTAGGCAATTTGAAAAGATTTATATCCAAACAAAAAACAATGAGGTAGCCAAATTTGTAGTATTTCTAGTCTAGGGCAAAATTGTAGAAGTGAAAAAAAAAGTTCTTTCTCATTTGGACCACAAACACACACACACATACACATATATACGGACGCACGCTTGATAATGGGACACTGTCCTCTTCATCTAAAATTGTAAGCCGACAACCCACTTACGGGAATCTCCCGTTTTGTTGGAGCTCTTGTAATTACACTCAAACATAAATGTTAGTTTGGGAACGTTTCCACTTTATACAATAATGGTGTTTCCGGTTGATTGCTCCACCCGATTGCTGTTGCCAGTTGCATTTAAATGTGCTTCAATTTACGTATCTGTGCTAGAACCAATTTAGTCCCTCCTCCCCGAGTGACCATGGGCCTCCGTGGAGTTTTTGTGTAAATATGTTTCCCTAGAGTGTAAATACAATTATTGTTAGTAGGCTAAAACAATCAAACCTGAAACTGTTCACAATGAACACTGTAATAATAATGCTGATGATGATGGCAACGGACTGGACAGTGAACGAACGCGTAGGGTGCTAAAAGCAGAAAGAAACGCTAGGTCTACGGTACATATAGCCGATGAAGGAAGCGCAAACAATGAATAGGATGAAAGATTTCCGCATTGACAACTGTTGGTTTATTGGTGGAACGAAAAGAAATCCCATCTTCAGTACCGTAAAACGGTGCATCTTTGGTAATGATAGTAGAATGTATCTTTATCTTTAATGATTAAACTGCGACAGTGAGCATGCATAAGGGCCTATACGCGATGATCGATTCTCTTCATCGATTTTCTCTTTGCATTGCTACAGCTAAGCGCAACAATTTTGTAGAATTTATTCAATGTAGAGTTGTAACAGGTTCCATTGGCTATCAAAAGCAACAGCAAACGCTCCGACAAACGTTAAATCTAGCGAGTTATTAACAAAAGAGAAAATCGATGAAGAGAATCGATCATCGCGTATACGCCCTTATGAATGCTCACTGTCGAACTTATCTTCTGCACTGTTTCCCAATTGGAAACATTGATTTCATTTTGTAGCTACGGGTATTACCTTTGCCATCGTATAGAGCTTTTATATAGTACTAGCTGAGTGTGCCCGGCCGCGCACAGTCGCGGTGACACGCTGTGTGGGATTCTTACCGCACTAAAACCTCCTTGGACGCCTTGCCCTTTTCCCCCGGAACCACTTGTCGTATTACTTCGGAGGGGGCCGTGCATTACGCACCTCACTTTACCTCAGCTAATTGGCGCTTCCAGTTCACTGATCGTCTCTCCAATTTGTGAGCCATTTAGCTCCCAGCGTCGCGTTTTACTCGGTTAACCCCGGTGGTGGATTCAGCCTACTCTGACGGAGAGTTCTCTCGGCTTCGGCTTTCACTTCGCACTTGTGTGAGCACATTACTACTTTCTAGTTGGTCTTCTCGCCATTTTCGCTGCAGCGCTGACATGATCTGCGTTACTACTCTGCTGACGGCGTTAAAGGTGCCCTCCTCTCGACACATTTCTTCGACGACATTCTCCGTGCTAAAGGCGAGCATATCCTTTCGCACAGCTTCAAATCTAGGACATTCGAAGACCACGTGCTCTGGTGATTCTTCCACATTCCCACAATCCGGACAGAAGGGTGACGTTGTGTGTCCGAACCGATGCAGGTACTTCCTGAAGCAACCATGACCAGACAGGAACTGCGTCAAGTGGAAGTTGACTTCTCCATGCTTCCTGTTCCTGTTGTGTGTCCGAACCGATGCAGGTACTTCCTGAAGCAACCATGACCAGACAGGAACTGCGTCAAGTGGAAGTTGACTTCTCCATGCTTCCTGTTCCTGTTGTGTGTCCGAACCGATGCAGGTACTTCCTGAAGCAACCATGACCAGACAGGAACTGCGTCAAGTGGAAGTTGACTTCTCCATGCTTCCTGTTCACCCAGGTCGAAAGAATCGGTATTAGCCTGTGTGACACCGTTCGTACCATTTTTCGTACACCTCTGGTTTCTCTCGTCATATATCACTCGTAGTCCTCCGCCAAGGTGATGCCGATTGGGATCATACCGGCGATAACGCATACTGCTTCCATCGAAATGGTTCTGCACGCACTCACGACTCGCATGGCCATGAACCGCAACGTACTACTCAATTTCCTTTGGTTCTGCTTCGTTTTCAGCGCTTCAATCCAGGCTGGACCTCCGTACCTTAGTATCGATCAGGACACACTAGCCAGAAGACGCCTCTTGCTGCTGCTTGGACCAGAATTGTTCGGCATGATTCTGGCTATTGCGTTGATGACCTTCGCCGCCTTCTCGCAAGCATACCTGTGGGCTATCTGCAGCTTCGCTCCTTGCATCCAGTTACCAATCATATCTATCGCCTCGGTCGCCAGCATTTCCACTTCTTTCAGCGTCTCACCGGTTACCGTCAAGACGACATCGTCCGCAAAGCCAACGATCTCAATTCCTATGGTCAGATTGAGCGTCAGCATGCCATTGTACATTCCGTTCCACAACGTGGGACCTAGAATTGAGCCAACAGTGAAGCTTTCCACCAATTCCTAATCGGTCAAACTTGGCCAGGGCAATATCGTGATCCATTTTATCGAAAGCAGCCGACAGATCCGTACTCGCAAAAAAAAAATATCAGAAAATGATGAACGAGAGCCGTGAACAAGTTCACGGTGTACATTTAATTCTAGGCGCGGACCGTGAGCTAAGGGAACGGATTTTTTCCGAGTATAAATCGCATCTACTTGCGAGCCTTTCTCCGTTTGGCGAACGACGAAAAAAGTGAATGTCACTATGATGAGATATATTGCGAGCATTCCTGTGATAAAAAGTCCAGGACAATCAGTTCGAAAAGTTTTGACGACGCACACAAGGCGGCAATACCTCGATATTTAGTTGGAAATAGTACGCTTGCATTCTTTTTTTATGAACTGGGAAAACGAATGAGTTTTTCCAGTAGCTACCCAACAAACATTAGGCGTTGAATAAGAGCTTAATAAGCTAACAACATGCTTCTTCAGCTAAAAAATAGCTTATTCAGTTGTCGATCAACTCAAATTGTTTGTTGGGTAGGGAATACACCAGAAGCCAACGAAGAATCAAATATTGATACTAACGGAGATGTAATTTTTAAGGATAATGGCTGGAACTTTTCAATCGTTTTGCTACGGCTAGGACAACATCGGTTGTTTTCGGATGGTGAGGACCTATGCTGTCCATAATCGCAAGTCAGTCTCATCTGTAAAAACCTGGAAATGAGAAAACAGCGTCCAAAGATTTTACAAGTTTTCTGATTTGACACTTATTTTATAGGGATAAATTTAAAAATAAACGTACAATGTGTTACCGTTTGTAACATTTGTTGATGTATTTCTGTATGTTTATCGTATTCTGCATGTCCATTTAAATTTGAATAATAATTGCCAATTTGATACCCCTAGTTTAAGTACACTATACAATACCACAGTTTACTACCAACTGCTGGAATAGGTGATGAGCCAACAAATTGAGTTCAGTGGAACATAAGAGAATGGGTACAAGAAGTACAGAGAAAGGGAACGGCGAGTAGCACGGAAACTTCTTCCGCGACTTGCCAAGTAAACTCAAACAAGAGCAGTTGCATAAGCTAAAACCCGTTAAAAGTTTATTGAAGAAGAGTAAGAGTGTCGTAGTAGCAGGAGTGGATAGAGAGAGAGAGAGAGAGAGACAGGACACGTTAGTTATGAGGGTAGCTTTTGGTGAAGAACTGGCCTCTCGACGATACCGAGGTTGGACTCGGTAAGATAAGGATTTGGGTTCCACCCCAAATGGTACCGAGCAGCCCTAATAAAAATTGTATGGTTAATTTGCTTAACGACGTGTTCTGGGTATCATCCAAACCATTTGTGGAATAGTTCAATGATTTGGGCTATCGTTCGTTTATGGTTATTTTTATTAGGGAGGTCTCCACACACCCGTGAAATCCAAGTCCGCCATCTCCAAGCCTGGAACCACAGACTCCACAGACCACAGCCAACATTTCGCCAGAGTCCGCCATTGTGCTAACCGACCGGCGTCGCCAGACGCTTTCACCGAGTTTTCATCAGCCTCACTGTTTCCCGCCACCAAGCTAGCCACCGTCATCGAGACCACCACCACCAGTACCATCACCCCCACCAGTAAATTCCAGCAGCCACCGGCCGGTCAGGTATTACACCCCCCCCCCCCCACACACACACACACCATGTTAAATAAGGGAAATAAATGGTAAAATTGTATTTCACCAGCTTCTTTTTACTACACCTTATCCGAGGTCTGATTTGCCGAGTAAAGGACACCAGCCGACCTTGAGACTCAGAAATAGTTCTCCAGCTCTGCTAGCCATTAAAAGAGGTTGTTGTATAACCCACCCTCACTGGTAGGCCGTTGCTTTGCCAAGCCCGCCGAGGTGTTTGTCCTGGTAGCCCCCTAGATACCCCACCCTAGCAGCAACAAATGTGATAGAATGCATCTATATTTACCAAAAAGTATTGGATAAAATTTCGTGCAATTTTTATTTTATGGCCAAAATCTGAGTGGGACTGACTTGCGATTACATTTAACGTCAATGAGAAAAATAACCGCAAGTCAGTCACAATTCCATGACGATGCTGCATAAACTAATGCACAGTATTGAACAGTAGAAATATACCATGGTCCCATAGAACGTTATTATATGTTTCTGGATTTGTTCCGCTAATTCCAGAGCAATGGCCGGAACATATTCCGGTGAGTATGGGTCTTCACCAGACCAGAGCCAAACATGATGAGTGACCAGCACCATGTTGACCACACCCGGACATGTTTCGGGTATTCCCGGGGAAGTGGTAAATCGTTTTTAAATCAAAATCTATCAAACGATACATCAAATCACATGAAAATTCAAAGCCATATCCATTGGCGGTCAAACTGAGTATCGTAAGAACTATATTGGCCACATCCGGACATGTTCTAGATACCCTAGGGAACGTGGACAAAATCTATCTTGAGACAATCTCATGATGCAATTTAATCGGTAGTTCCCCGTTGGACATGATTGAAGGAAGTCTGGTCTCTCTTCGTTGATCACTAACATAGCGCCAAAATCCTTTCGGTTTCTATTTAAGACTCCGTTGTAAACGATTTCGATGTGCGTGAAATAGCTGCTTATTCTGTCTTTTAGATATACCCCATTGGCTCTTAGGATACGGGATTTCGACGACGCAGTTTTTGCTTTACTGAGTTTTTTCGATGCTTTCCTTTTAACCCTTTTTTAGACGTTTCAAACGACAGTTGGTCCAGACAGGGTAACCTTGTTTTTTTGTAGCTTCTATGGAACAAACAGATCGATTGCGTACAGTAATATGTTACAAACAGTGCTAGCAGCTAAGTATTAGCTCAGCCCAATACCTATGAGATAGGAGTACATACTGGCGTAATAGGCTTTACTGAAGTCGAAGTATATGGTATTAGCACTAGCATCTGTAACACACGCCTCTCAGCCTGCGAGATCTCGACCACCGAATACGCTTCCTGTCTCTAAAAACGAGTGGCTTAAGCGCCACCTCCGAAGAGGACCACTCGTCAAGGTTTGATTTGCCCGGCAATAAACCCAACCTCAGGGCGGGTTTATGAATGGAAGAGACCGAAATTTAGTTTAAGAGCGATTCAGCAGACTGAAATTCCATGAGAGATTGAGATGCTCACAAACAGAGGCCGCTTCCCATGGTCTTAAGCGAAAGTTGAAGTTAACCGTCGTTCTACCGTAACACAAAACCCCACTCACATTTATCATCACTGGAGGAACTCTCCCTTTCAGATTTCCTCCCCCGATCCTGACACGTGAGTGCGGAGACTGTTTTCCCAGGCAGTCCAACCTGGAGTAAATTCGATTACAACAAAAATAACGCAAAATAGAACGACCGAAACGTGAAGAATCTAACCAACAAAAATTAACATTACGGAGAAAGCTTTTACTTTACGAAAACAACATTTATTTCATGGCTAAATAACGGATATCATTTATGATTTATTCGTATTCCTAACCTAGGTTTATTCATGACTCTTGTTCCTTTCCCATTTTTGTTCGTTTGTTTGCTAGCTCTCCCTTAAGGTGTGTGTGGTATCCTGATCTGTTTCTAGCGATTACTAGCCTAACTTGCTAATTTTCTTCGAGCTCATGTGTTTGTGTGTGTGTGTGGAGATTCGCATGCGTTAATTTACTCACGGTAGTCATTGTCGTCGCTGCTTCACCCGTGTCGGCACAGAAGCATCCCTTTGTCGGAGGGAGGTCGGCAAAGTAGCAGCCTATTCAAACGGTGGTGGTGTTGCACATTGCACCCCGGACTGATATGGTGCGGAAATTCGCAATCGAACCCTCGAATTGGTACTGAACTAGCGCCGACTGCCGGTGGCGCAAATGTCAACGAGGGGATCGTCGAAGACGAATAATGTACGTGGGTTCACGTGGTTGACATTGGCAGATTTGGCCAACGCTCTGCCGGAGAACAGTTAACGGTGTCTCCCTTCCGAATTCTCCCCCGAACCGGGAACCTTGAAGTTGAAGCGTGGGGCCTAGAGAGCGCGATTTATATCCTCGACTGCGGTGTGCCGAGCAAAGCCATCTATCGCTAGAAGCGATGCGGTGCAAACTCCAATCTGCACAACTTGATCCTACACAAAAACGATCCTAAACAAAAAGCCGTCGAACGGCTGTTCGACACATTCAGTTACATCTCCACACAAAAGACACTATTCACCTTACCTTTCTATAACTTTGCACACACAATAAGTGGACCGCACGGAACTTTTTACCTACAGTTTGCACTCTACAGGCTAACGGAAAGGAACAAAGATGTAACATTAAAATCGGTCGGACTCCTCACATTTTTAACTTCACATACCACGAAAAACACACCGCGACACTAAGTACACTTAAGTACTAATTACTAGCACTCCCGCCTCTTCCACGGTTCAAGTCAAAGTGAACGAGTAGAAGTTCCAGATACCCTCAGATAGGCGTGATTTCAACGGTCATCGTGGCCGAAAGTACGTCAAATTACCAAAGTAATTCAACGACCTTTCAAACGACAATTTTCAACATCTTTCTCTAAAGAACATTCAATGCTACATCTCTTTCCTTATCATGCAATTTCAGTATACTATCTTGCTCCAATCTATTTTCGGTTATTCTTTTATAAGAGAGAACGGTTCGGATTCGAACCCCGGACTTTGACGAACAGGTAGCGTATTCGGGTCAAATGGAGTGAATTAGCTGAACGTATCGGGAACTTGTTGGTTTTTGTATGGCAAGTGTAACTATATATAATAGACCTGTTCATTTTAAACGAAATGTTCGGAATGTAACGGGTCAACCGTGATTACTGTTCGTCATGTTAATTTAAACTTTTGTGCAAATTTTCAGCAAAATCGGTGTTGATTTAGAGGTGCTTCTAGTTAATTTTATGTTTTCAAGGTAATTTACGGCTTATAATATTTGTATCTCGAGACTGAAACAACGAAAGCTGCTGTAACAACTTTCATAGCAAAGTTTAATGTGTCATGTATCAACTTTGTAACCAAAGGTTGACTATTCGAAGTGATTTTATTGAAGTTTGACTTAGTTTCATGCTCGAAGATATCTTAAAAAGTGAAGAATTTTAAAGTAGGGGAATTTACGTATTCTCGGCAACCTAAGCAGCGACCTTCTTTCTATAGCCTTTTTCTCTATGGAACGCACACATGTGCAGTATTGGTTTGTTTACAATCTTTTGCTGCCAGCTGCACTAACAATTTCAGTCGAAAGAATTGTCAAAAACTGTTTTGAAACGCTTTTACAAAGCTCCAATCTTCTCTAGTGAGAGCGAGTATTGTCGGCAACCAGTTTTTCTTCGGCAACCGTTCCATTTGAATTGCATGTAAATCTGCTGTTCTATTATCGGCAACTCGAAATCAGCTCCAATTTGTAGTGCGTGTGTTGCATTTCAAGAAAACCTTGCTAGATTGCTTTTTCTCAGTGGTAAAAATATAGTCAAATTGAAGCTGAAAGCATAAAGAATCGTTTGCATGCATTCAGCGAAGTGTTTTCGTAAGAAAATCCAGTGAAAATAGTGTTTCAATTTGGGTTGCCGAAAATAGTCTGTCATGCCGAAGCCGTCATTTCCCCTATTTGTTCTACGAATTTTCCACCCATATGATATAAAAATGTGTAGTGTACGGCATAATGTTCCTCATATTGTTCTAAAAGTTTCGTTCCAACATAGTTTTCGTGTATATTTCATAGATTGAGAGATAAAAATGAGAAAAGAGGCCGTTTAGCTAAAATTCACAAGACAACAGAACCAATAAAAGTCAATTAGATTGACAGAACATAGTTGCATTGCTTTTCAATGACGACCGATGACTGTTTCATTGATATATGATTTTTTCATAAATATGAATCCTCAGTAGACGTGTTTTTTATCAAAGGCTAGTGTCACTCGAACCATAACAGCAATTTATAAAATAACGAACATTTTGAATGGCAAATCAAAAAGATGACGCAAAACAACAAAAGTTCACTTTTTCACAAGAAACAAATACCAGTTGGTTCACAGTACCACGTGCACAGAATGCATATGACAGATAGGATTTTAAAGTCAGTGCCTGCTATTAAATTGTATTTAAATCATAAGTTCCACTGATTTCTTTCAAGCCATCCTTTGAAAAGCAAAATTAAAAAACAATTTTCAACCGTAATTCATGCCAAAATATATATAAAAAAAAGTTTTAGACCCCCCGATAGAACATTTCGAGGTTGGTCTTATTTGAAAGGGGAGAGTATAAGCTTCCGTTTGGTGAGTGTTTAAGCGATACTGATTTTTTTTTAATTAAAGTTGTTCTACCAGAGACACCGTGTACAGACTAGGAAGTTGGACCCCAGATAAGCCAACTTAGCGATTGGCACAGACTGAACACTGAACAATTACAATAGGAGGTAAAGTTTGTGTATGACACACAAAATCTGTCAATTTCGCTTCCAGAGTGTCACTATTTGCGATTAGCTATAACGAATAGCACTCATTCATGACGATTACTCATTACAGCTAAAATAGCTAATTGTGACCCCCTGAAAGCAAAATTGATTGATTTTATGTGTCACACACAAACTTTACTTTCTCTTCTTGCATCTTACATATAAAAATTATTATTATAATATCTCATAGTTTCATAATTTTGAAAAGTAGTATTTTAGCTATAATGAGTATGTTCAGGCCTGATCCCGTACATCAAATTTAACAGAGATTTTTTTGCACAACTGTAAAGAAAGAGGAAATCGATTGGGAAAATCGATCAAAACAGATAGCACCTTTTGAATGGTTAGTCTAGATATATTTTTTTAGCAGTGTTCGACCACAAAAAACTTTTTTCTTCACGCAATTCAAGCTCAAATTCTCTTCCTGCGCGTTTTTTTTTTGTGTAGCTCACGTGAGGCAGGATATTTCGGATGAATCACTTCCCGGCCCGCATTCAATAGTAATTGTTTATTGCAAATTCCAACTATCCTCAATATGCAATGTACTTACACAAAAGAGACAAAATGAGATATGATCCTTTCGGACGATGATTCTTAGATGATAAGAGTTCTGTTTCCGATAATAGGTATAGGTAGTATTGCTTGATTCGATCCTGGTGGATGTGCTCCTACTAAAGTTGAGCAGTGTTTTGGGGGGGCTGTATATGCCATAGCGCTTGCTTAGCTTACTCATAGGACGTAGGTGTAGGTAGTTAACAGTGTTTTAATTTGCCATCCGTCTCGGTCAAGCAAACACGAAATATTAGATGGAACAGGCCGTAGCTTCTGAAGCCACGGGAAACTGCTCCGGAAAGATCGGAAATCTGATTCAACAATATAACAATAAGGAATTATACACGTGATTTTGTTTGTTTGTTTGAGTGTATGTGTGGTGTGTGTGTGTGTGGGTACGTATGATCCCCAATCTTACAAACTATAAGCTGCTGCTTTGAAATTTCCGCCGTAAATATTCACCGCTCTTTGCCCGGAAAGCAGGAAATCTTTCTTCATCAACGTGTGTGTTTGTTGGCCCTAATCCTAGCTGGATTCTCAGTCCAGTCCAGTTTGTATTTATTTTCGGTTGTTTTTTTTTTTTAATTTATGAGAGTATGTATAAATAGTACTATAACTGCAAATTGCGCGCGTGATTTTCGTTTTCAAATCAATGCTAAAGCCTGTTTTGCCCTATTTTGTTTCGATTTTAAGAAAATATCCACTTGGTAGGAAATCTCTAAATATTAATTATCACAATTTTCTATACAAGTGTTTATGCGTATGCGTGTGTTTGTGTGTGGGTGTGTAAGAATAATCTTTAACGTAGAGCGCTGTGATAGCAATTTAGTAGTAGTAGAGTAGCACCACAGACGAAAAACAAACCCATACGATATGACACTTCCTTCCCTTCCGACGAAATTTGTTCTACTTTTCACCTATTTGCTAACCTTTCTTTAGAAATATTTACGCATCTCCTGCTTTTTGTAGGTAATTGCCTAATGCTAATATTGCAACGGTTTCACACGCACTATTACAGTAGACCGTGTGTTGATTCTTCGCTTCCCGCCAGCAATCCGAAGCACACGAAATTTCCCCCAATGCCCACATAAAGCGGATACAGTGCTTCTGAGCACTTTATCAGCACTATTAGATCCATTCGGGTGAAATTGTGCACTTTGTAACTACCGCGGGATCTTCTCCTATCTAACTAACCATTAACCTAACCGATTAAAGAAAACCAAAAAAGTTACAAATTCTCTCCGGATATAAATCTATACATCTAGATAGGTACCCTTACGCGTTCTAGTAGGAGTTTGTTGTAAATTGTTTATTCCTTCAAATAACAAAACAAAACAAAAAATAGCGTCTATCAAATAACCACGATACGATAGGTTTCTCTTACTTCCGAGGTGGGGTGCAGAATTGAACAGTGCAATCTTGTATGTGTATGTGTGTTTGTGTGGGAAAAATAGTATACAATTGCATAAATGTTCTGTATAAAGGAAAATTTGCTATAACTTTACAAAAGGATTCTCATTCGCGTGTGTCGTCCCTGTTGATGCGAACGTTTCCGTCATTCGCATCGTTGTATTGTTTTTTTTTCTTCTGTCGATAATTTTAGTCTCTATCCCACTAGAGATTAAAATCAAGTATTATGAGTTGCTTACGGGTTGGCTGTGTATCGCTTATGCCATCTTGCGGTACAGTTCTGAAACGAATCTTCGAAACCGGTTCTTCACCGTCGCCGAAGATTCGCATCAGTCCCATGCCAGTTGGCAAAAGAGAAAAAAAATGGTTGGCCAATTCCCCGCGCTGGGCCATTCGACTCCTTTCGTGGTTGTAGTGTGCGTGGGTGTATGTGTGTATAAGGGTTCGTATAGGAGGACTATTGTCGAGGAGAACTATTGCTTACGTTGCTGGGTATTTCTCAGGGTCATTTTAGAAGACAATTTTTTAAAAATTTGTCAGAGAACTAAAAAAAAAATGGGTTAAACTTTTGAGAAATACCGGGGTAGCAGTCAGAGCAGGTTTGAAAGTCCAAAGACTAGACCGGATCTTAGATCCGGTTGTAATAACTAAATTTTGCAAAGAGCAACGAGGAGCTCTTTTTGATTTGGGCTGCGCTGCTTCATTATCTACTAAACTATCGATTGCACTTTTTCCAATTAAGATAACGCCAATAGTTGAGGCCGTCGTTGCGGCTTCGTTGCAGCCTCTGATGCAGCTATCGTCGTTCGAATGTACTCACAATACTTGATTTTAAATGAGTCGTTCTCATGTTTCTATCGTCGGCCCCGTCAGCTTGGTGGCGTACACGTTGGCAACCTGAAAGGAAAAGGGGAATTGAGACGATTACAACAAACTATTTTTATCAGACGATAAATGTACTACGAAGGTTTGAAAAACAAATCCGGAGAACTTTGAGATTTGGGCGTAATTTCTTTTATAAACAAACACGTCAATCACCGATTTCTCGTGAATTAAAGGTCAATCTCGTTAAAAAACTATACCAAATGATACAGGAACCATTCCTCTACCTGTTTGTGCTGTTAGTTTTTTAGATAAAGCTTTAATTCGCGAGAAATTAAAAAAAAATTACGCCCTAATCTCGATGTTCTCCGGAAATGTTCTCTGTGTATACGGCAAGAGGGTCTAAATAGTTAACAAAGTCAACATGAATTTTACCATTTACTGCGTCAGAGTACCCTTTCGAGTTGGCAAACCGATTGGGACACCGGAAATCTTGGACGGTGGTTACATTCAATTATTTCTAATGTCTCTTCGAGAGTGTGGTTTAAAGACTTGGGCTTAAGTTGTAACTTCATTCGCGTGATGAGTAGACTTATGTCCAACCACTACTCGCTAGATGCGCATCTCCATAGAATAAACCTAGTGGACAGCAACATCTGTCGGTGTGGGTACATCGATCACGCAGTTTGGCAATGTACGGAATGACGTCGCCAGAAAGCGACTTTTGAATACCCTCGAGGCCCAAGGAAGACAACCCTATATCCCTATCAGAGACGTGTTGGGTACCCGCGATCTCTGCTATATTCAGTCGATTTATGCAGTTAAGCAACCCAACTAACAATTTTCACAATGTAAACGCTTTACTCATTTCATTTATACAGTCTCAAGCTCTATTCAAACGTTATACGATATGAGGAAACCTTTACTCAACCTCTATACAAGCAAATATGGCGAACTTAGTCAGCTACTTATGGCTGTTGGAACGGTCGGGAGAAGCTCTTATTGCATATCCATTAACGCTTCTATACAGCTGTTATCCTGCTGTTTTAGTTGTGTGTGAACTTGAAAGGCGCTTATTCAACCTTTTCCCGGTTATCCAATAATCACTACACAGCTTTCTCTTGAAGCCGGGTTAAATACTGTTTACGCTTTTTTATGAAGGAATTTATTGAGTTTATTTTGCTGTGAATCAAATTAATCGAAATTAGTTACAAATCAAATTATTTACCCTGCACCGGAACCTGGAATCGAACTCGAGGCGACCTCATTGGCAAACCTTGACACTACCAACTGTGCTACGCCAACACTTTGAACTTATGTAAACAAATCAACATTCCCTTCTGCAACAAAATCACTGAGTAGAGGCTTTATAATATCGCACATGAATCACTTTTCTCGACTAGTTATAAAAGAGCAGAGTAAAAGCTGTAAAACTGCACACGTCTAAAAATAAACCTAGTTGACTGTGAAAATGCTTCCGAAGTTGCTCTAACACAGTTTATAAGCTGAGTACAGGTTGTTTAGTTGTTGAAAAAACACTTTTGATGTTTATGTTATTCAGCAAGAGTGGTTGGTTGTCTAGAAGCCATCAAATAAGTAATATATTCACTTTGTTAACTTTGTCTTGCCGCTACAAGTGGAAAGTTGATTAGTGTGTGTATAGAAGTGACATTAGCGTTTGTTGGCTGATGTTATTCAGTGCGACTGACAAATTGAATAATGGTTGTGAGAAAGTTGAGTAAACGCTCTCCAAAACTATTTTGCTAGCTTTTGCTTGTAGCTGTATCTGCAGCTTCTTTTCAGCTACTTTACAGCACAACGCTGGAAAAGTTGGCTTACAAAGCTGAAAATGTTAGTTGGGAAATCTCCTTTATCTTTTGTCTCTCCTTAATAGTTTTGACGTAGGACTACGTCTGTGATTTCTATATGGGGGTACACTTTGTGAAAACCGAAAATGGAACATGTAACGAAATTATGAAAGATTTTGAACGTTAATAACTCAGCTGCCCCTGGACCAATTTCAATAATTTTATCACCAATCGCTCAGAAATATTTCTACGCATCAATAACAATGCTACCGACTGTTTATGTTCCAGAATCCTATTGAATAGGTGGTAAATGTCAACCATTGTCCAAAAGTATCGAATTAACTAACAAATGCACCAAACTACGTACATGCATATGCTGCTTCCCCAACACAGCCATCAGAGAATCGTTTCTTGGCGAAACATGTCGAAGTGGCATTCGCCTCTGATCTTCGGGCGTGTGCGAATAGGGAGGATGCAATTGCGTAACATTTTGCACACTCATTGTCATATTCAGTACCACACGCCCCCAACGACCGGCTCGACAGCGTATTGGGATCCTTACGCGGCTTTAGGTGGACCAAGGAACGACGATATTCCGCCCCGTTGACGTTTACCAAGTAGGATCTGTCGTTGTATCTATGGAAAATCATTCCTGGCGTCCAAAGTTTCGAAAATTCAGGATGCGCTTGAACGTATACCGGAGAACTAATATCCAGCTCCGGTAATTTTTGTGTCTTCCCATCATAATGCAATTTCGATTGTTTACGGTTCTTTTCTATTCTAGCGGGAACATCCTCCACCACCTTCGGAAGTAGATTAGTTGCGGCTGTAGGAACACCACAGCGAGTTGAGCGTGACAGCAAACGCGCAGCCGGACTAGAACCAATTTTGTTTGGAATGTTGCGCCAGTGAAGCAATGCATACCAGAAGTCAGATCCACTTTCTTTTGCTTTCTTCATCAGGTTTTTTGCGATTTTGACTGCAGCCTCTGCCTTTCCATTGGCTTGTTGGTGATGGGGAGCTGATGAAGCCAATTCGAAGTCCCAATCTACAGCAAACCTGATCATCTTTTGGCTAGTGAAATTTGTACCGTTATCTGTAACGACCCTTTGTGGTACTCCGTAGCGAGAAAAATTTTGCGTACACGCAGCGATTACAGATTCGGGAGTCAAATGTCAACCGTGATCAGAAACTTACATTTGGACCCATTCATTTCGGCAAAGAAGACGTCCATGGAAATAAGCTGGAACGGATACACGGGGATCTCGTGACTTTTCATCGGCGGATTCTGTTGTGACGGTGCATACTTAGCACATACTGCACATCCTTTCACCAAATCCTTGATTTGGGAGGTCATCCTCGGCCAGAACAGATTAGCACAAGCCAACCTCAACGTAGCTTCTATTCCATTGTGGCTTGCGTGGCAGCTCTCAATCAACTTTTTGCGAAGAACTTGCGGAACCAGAATGCGATCCTCACGGAATACCAATCCATCTTGAGTCGAAAGCTCATTACGATAACCAAAATACATCTTAATGCCATCAGGAACACTGTCAGCGTACTTGGGCCAGCCGTTTCGGATGTAATCAATGATCAACTGCATCGCTTGGTCCTTTTCTGTCTCCTGCATAATTTCATTCAATATGGCGCTTGACACGCAAAGAAAGTTGCTCAGCTTCACCTCTTGAATTGCTTCGAACACCTTTAAAATATACTCCTTCTTGTACTCGTCTCGAGGTTCGATGTTTGACAACGGTGCACGAGACAGTGCATCAGCCATAACGTTATCTTTTCCGGTGACGAATTCGATTGAAAAATTATATCGTTGAAGGTTGAGCAACATGTGTTGCAAACGACGAGGTGCTGACAAGAGCGGTTTGCGAAACACAGTTATAAGCGGTTTGTGATCGGTTTTGACCGTAGCTTTCGGGTTTCCAACAATCAACTGATCGAAACGAACACAAGCGAAGACTATGGCCAGCAACTCCTTCTCGATCTGAGCATAGTTCTTCTCAGTTGCGGTCAACGTTCCTGATGCGTATCTATTACCTCGTCACGTTGAAACACTGCTACTGCAAGGCCGATGCTACTTGCATCGCACTCGATAGTGAGAGGTTGATTTACATCATAGTATCTTAACGTTTTTATATCCGATACCAATGATTTTACCTGACAAAACTCGTCTTCTTCCACAGAGGTCCACTTCCAAGGTTCTGCTTCCAGGATCAGCTTTCGAAGGATGGTCAAATTAGCGCTGAGATTCTTGATAAAACGACCCAAGTATGTAATCATACCCACGAACCTATGGACATCTTTCCGATTCTGCGGCCGCGGAAATTCGCGAATAGCCACGATCTTCGACTCATCCGGTTTGAGACCCTCGTCGGTGAGAACGTGCCCGTAGAACTTCACTGATCTTTCACACAGTTTTAGCTTCGATTTGTTGAGTTTGATGTTATGAAGCTCCAACTGACATAGAAGTTTTTCGAGGCAATTGTTATGTTTTGCTAATGCCTCCTCAAGTGTATCTCCAATGCCGTATACGAGTAAATCATCCGCAATGCACTCAACGCCGTCTAAACCTTCGATAACTTCTTGCATTTTGATTTGGAAAATTTCCGGTGCCGGAGCAATTCCAAACGAAAGTCGTGTCCAACGGTGCCGACCAAACGGAGTCCAGAACGTTGTCAGTTTACTGCTTTCTTCATCCAGTACGACGTGCCAGAATCCTTTCCTTGCATCCATGGTGGTAAAAACCTTCGCCTTGCCCAGCTCCGGTAGTATTTCATCCAACGTCACGAATTGAAGATTCGGTCTTTTGAGCGCTTTATTGAGTGGAACTGGATCCAAGCAAATCCGAACTCCTGATTCTGGACCTCCACGTTGAACAATCACGATATTGCTCACCCAATCCGTATGACTTGTTTCTTTGACAATTATTCCATCATTCTCAAGGGATTCCAATTCACTTTTCAGCTTACCTCTCATCGCTATAGGCACCCGTCGTGGAGCTTGAACGGATGGTTTGACACTGTGATCTAGCTTCAAACCAACAGTTCCTGGAAGTTTTCCGTAGCCAGTAAAGAGTTCCCGATGACCATCGACGAGCTTCTGCGCTTTCACTCGATAGATGTTGAACAGCTCTTCCGACTGTGCTGATAGGTGACCTGACTCCGGTTTGCCAAACGACACTGTGTTGCAAAATTTAACTAGTCCGAGTTCACGGGAAGCTCTTGCAGACAACAGCGGACGATGGTCAACATCCAC